GCGCCGACGGTCCATCTTTGTGTTGCGCTTGGGTTCGTTTGCGACACCAGCTTGAAGCCGCCGCGACAGCCTCTCGGCGACTGCAACACAGCTACTTTACCGATACTACCTACCGCTGCTGCATCAACCGTTGTGCGACTGTGGTGTCCTTGCGACGAATCAACTGTGGTCCCACTCTCACCTCGGAGCGCCGCTCATCTGCCCAGCGTTCCGTCCTGTGCAGAGTCAATGAAACAGCTGCAACCGTGCACGCCAGATTGCTTTTCAGCGAGGAGCGACCGATGAATCATCATCCGAGAAAGGAGACGCTGGTAGCTTGGGCACGGGAGTGCGGCGTCGATCTCGGGGCGCCGTGCATATAACGGGCGGGCACAAAGACAGCACGACGCTCGACGATTGCTCCAGTCCCACCGTCCGTGCGCCGGCAGCCGTGCTGCTACGCAACGAGGTTGGACTGAGGCAGCCAGCCCGACAGCTCAGCCCGCCGAACATGTATTCGGTCTCAAACTATTCTTATTGTTGGCTCTTATTGCTGCGCTATGGCGGCGACGCGAGCTAGGGCATGGCGTCCACAGCGTGTGTAGTCTAGGATGATGGACTGGCCATGGTCGGACCAGATTTCACGGACCAGATCCACGTCCGTGGCGCGACCTGGCGATAGCTCAGACATCAACGGACAAGAATAACTTAGGATTAGCTTAGGTTACAGACGAGCAACATGCATCGAGTTGGCGCTTCTTACGCCGCTGCCCGCCGTGTGTCCAAGTACAAATTGAGAAACATGTTGACTTCGTCGTCGCTCCACTCGTCTGAGACGCGCGGCGTCAACGGCTCATAGCGCGTCGCCACCTCGTCGTCGTCGAGGCGCAGCTGCAGGTGGAACTGCTCGTCGAACGTGACGGGGTCGGTCGCGATGCTGTCGCTGCCGCGGCTGTGCGCCTCGACGTAGAGTTCGTGCTCGACAAGCGACGGGCGCTTCGGGCTGTACGGCGTGAAGCGCTGAAAGTGCGCGGTCGGACTGCGGGGCGTCGGGGCCATACTAGTAGAAGAGGAGAGGCTTGCGCGGGACGCGGTCAATTGGGTTATGGTGAACGAATCGCGCTCGGCTCGTTACAGCTGCGGCGTGGCTACTGGGGAGTGGCACTTGCACTCGGAGGCAGGAGGAGGAGCGGGCGGTAGCTGGCCCCACGAAGGTGCAAAGATGCACATCTGCACCGGCTGGTGCGTTCTCTGTCCACGCATTGAGCGTGCCTATGACCCGCAACGGTGACCAACGGACGCGTGGCCAGCAACGTCCGGCTAGGACGTCCAAGGTGGCAGAGCGCTGCACCCAAGACAACCTCACATACGGTATCTACTGCAGGGTTGCCACGTCGCTCCAATCTCGGACAGTAGGACGCACGTGGGCGGAGAAATCCTGGCGGAAATATTACAGTATTCGCTGCGACACACTGCACAGGCGTAATACAGTGTATGGTGTTTTCGATTTGGCCGAAACGGCGCGAGAATAACCATGCACGCGCTGCGCAACTTCGTGCTCGGCGTGCTCCAGGACGCGTCGTCGCGGCAGCTCCAGCACCTCTCGGAGACGCTCCGGCTGCCGCCGATGGCCGCCAAGGCCGACGTCGTCGCCGGTATCCTGCACCTCATCGAGCTCGACCGCGACTCGGCGCTCGGTACACTGTATCCAAGTACTTCGGACCAGCTTCAACGTGGGCTTCTAGGGATCTTTGTGACATGGCACCAGACGGCGGTCGCGGGCGACGACCAGGTGATCGCGCCAACCGCGTTTGCGAATGCGTTCGTGCCGATCCCGGGCTCCACGACGACCGACGCGATCGAACCGCCAACGACACTCTTTGGGTTTGAACTCGACGAGGAGCTCCGCGTCGTGGCGCGCGACGTGAGCGTGCTCGAAGCCGCGTACAAGGACGCCGAGGTGCATGTCCACAGCGGCCGTGCGTCGTACGAGAAGATCAAGCGCTTCCTCCAAACACTCACCCAAGTAGTGTACATACGCGGAATATGTGGCTTATGGCGATGCGTTCTAGCTGCGCGCCAAGGACATCGAGTTCCGGCGTCTCCTCCTCCAAAAGAATGACGCACTCGGCAAAGACAATGCGCGCCTGTCCCGCACAGAGACGCACACGCGTGCGCAGCTCGAATTTTTCCTCGGCGGTTGCACCCGCCTTCGCTCCAAACACGATGCACTCGTTGAAGACGTACGTTCAAGTAGCTAACGACACCTCTTCCGCGCCTCTACGTAGATCGCATGTAGCACGGCAAGCGACGACATGGCGGCCCATGTCCTGCTCGAGCTCTACGGCGGTGAAGTCGGCCTCACGCACGTACCAAGACCTCCCATCTGGCTGTTCTGAGTTTGCCGTTGACCGCCTCGTCTAGGTGTTGACGCGCACGCTCGAAGCCAAGTGCGCGCACTTGAGCGCCACATGCGCGAACTTGGACGCGGCGCATGCGACGATTGCGTCGCTGCACGCAAAGGTATATGAAAAGAACACGCTCGTAGCGACCATGCAGGCAAAATGGGACGCTGCGGCCAAAGACGCAACGTGCGCCAAGTTCCAGCTGCGCAAGTGCAGGAAGCGGCTACGCGACTCGAACGCTGACGCCGCGACCGTCTCGTACCTGCGCTACCACTGCCTCCAGCTGCAGCGCATGGTCACGGATCTCCTCAGTGTGAGCCAGATCCACGCGCTCGCGCTCACCGACGCCAAAGCCAACTTTACAAAGAGCGTCGAGAAGGCCTCGATTGCATGGCGGGTGCTCTCGTACCTGCGCTTTGTCTCGAACCCGCGCCTCGATCCGTCGGTCGCGAGTGTGCCGCCGCAATTCCCAATGATCGTACCGCCGCCGAGAGCTCCTCAAGACGTTCGCGAGGCGCTTCCGGTCGTCGTTGTGCTCGGGATGTCGTCGCTCGTACATCAAGTGGTCTTGCGCTTGAGCAGTCAATTTGGCTATGCCCATTTCGATGTGGACGATTGGCACAAGGGATTGATCATGGCCGATCCCGAAACCCCGGAAGACGCCGCCGACGATGGAGAGCGACCGTTGGACCTTCCCCGGTTGGCACGAACGATGGCCAACATGCGCTGGTGCCTCCTCCATGACCATGCGTTTACAGCCGACGACGTCCGGCGGCTCATCCAGCACGGCTGCCGTGTCGGCATGGTGCTCGACTTTAGCTCTCTCGAAACCGATCCAGCGTGGCGTCGGCTGCCGTTGTACACCCCGCTGCACCCTTCGATGGTGGGGCTGGACTCGGTGTCGTGGCCGTCGGTCGACGCTATGGTGGCCGCCGTCGCAGCCACGTGGCAGCGCCGCGTCGCATCATCGGGGGCGACGATCGAGTGGGACTCAATCACGTGCGGTATGAACGAGCGATGTGCGATGTTTGCAGAGGAACTTGGCGCCAAAATGGCGGTCGTCTGGGCCGCTCATCAAAAGGCTGTCGCCGACAAGGCTGCGGCGACAGCGGCGGCCGCGGCAGCCAAAAAGCGGTCCAATACACCGGCCAAGGGCCGATCGCCCACACCGTCCAAGCCCGGTCGCAGTAGCCCCACGGCGGCAGCGGGTAAGAAGCCACCGGCGACGAGAAGCAAAGCAACGCCGGCAAAGCCAACAAGCCCGGCGAAACCACCTGCTTCGCGGACTACGACAGGAAAAGTCGCAACGCCCAAGAAGCCACTGTCGCCACCCAAAAGCCCCGCCGTAAAGCGCGCGCGCTGAAAGTAGAGTCGTTGTACTAGACGTCTTAGCATCAACTATTGCGGCGGTTGAGTGCACTTAGCGCGGACGCGTCGCGTTGGCCTCGGCAATGCACCTCAGGAGGTCATTGTGGATGTGGCCGTTGGACGCGACGATGTGGCGCGTGTGGAGGTTGAACGCGCCGCCGACCGAGTCCGTGACCGCACCACCGGCTTCCGTGACAAGCAGCGAGCCCGCCGCCACGTCCCACGAGTTCAAGTCGAGCTCATAAAAGCCCTACGCAGTCATGCTCACTTTCCGCCCACGGATGATGGAAATGACGGACCGTTTGGCGACCGCAGCTCGTCCACGCGAGCTCCAAGGCGGCCGCGCCCTGCAGACGCAGCCCACGACACGTGTTGGAGAAGTGATGGATGACGTCCAGCATCGGCAAGCGCACGCTGGGCTTGGTGCCAATGCCAAAGCCGACGAGCGCCTGCTCGAATTGCGTTTCTTTTTGGCTCACATGGATCGCAACATCGTTCAAGTACGCGCCATGGCCACGCATCGCACTAAAGAGCTCGTCGCGGTACGGATCGTAGATGACACCGACGACCACTTGGCCACGGAACGCGACGGCGACCGAGACGACGCTAGCAGGACGCGCGTGCACAAAGTTGGTCGTGCCATCGATCGGGTCCACGACCCAAAGCCATTCGGCGCCGTCCATGGCGGCAATCGCAGCGCGCGACGCGTCACTGCCGGCGGCCACGTCTTCCTCGCCAAGCAGGCGGTGCGTCGGGTGCTTGCGGGCCACATGGGTCGCAATGAGCTCCTGGCACTGCTTGTCGACGACCGTAACGAGGTCGTCCTTGTTGCTCTTCGAGACCGCTTCCGTGCCCAGGTGCAGGCGCATGTGCTTACCCGCGAGGCGCGCCGCCTCCTTCGCCGTCGCCAGCGCTTCCCACGCCGTCGTTGCTTCCATCGCCTTCGAGGATTACTTAGATGTGCGGATGTAACACGCGGTATCCTATCACACCTCTGAAACAACATAATCAAAAACGGAAACCTCCCATAATGCATAGATTCGGGTGTCGCGCCGGTGGAATTGCTGCACTCTGGCGCGCGTGCCTCTGGTCCAACGGCCGTCGCGCGCGGCTGGCATGACTCACCCCATGCCCGAGCGGCCCGTCGCATCTGCCTTCTTTAGCGTTGGCTTCCAACAGATAGGGACGTTGCCATCGATGGCCGCGCACGGGACAAGGAATCTGGCTTCCAAATGGGTGCGGCGCGGTTCCTGGCATGCCGACGTCAGCTACGTATGCGCGCCATTGGCAACGTAGGTTTCTCGACGACTGCAACGAGCGAGTTCGAGCTCGCAAGGCCCAGGCTCTGACGACCACCACTCGGTAGTTCATTCCGATCGCGCAAGCAAGAGGGTCAATGCGACGAGGATGATTAAAACGTCACTGAATGCTATTTAGCTCGCGGGTCCTGATAGCCCAGTAGCACCTCCATGAGGCTGTTGGTGCGCGCAAACGAGCCGAGGAGGAGCTCGGACATTGTGCACTCGGTCTCGAGCCCGCTCTCGTTGGTAAGAATGTCCACGTACGGGATTCGGAGCATCAAGACGTGCCGCAGCACGGTTTCTTCTGGCGTCAGCCCGTGGGTAAGATGAATCCTAGACACCATTCGTTCATTTAAAGCACTCCTGCAGACAGGATGTACAGGATCGTGTCGTCCGAGGTCCACGTGCACGGCGACGGCGGGTGGACAGGGTCGTAGCCCATTGAGCGAATCACAAACGTTGTTGCGTGCGGCTGGAAATAGCGCTTGAGACCATAGTTGCAGCGAAAGAGCGGAAGTCCCTCGGACGCGACTTGAAAATGGTAGTAGATCGTATTGGCGTCAACCGTCTCGAGACGCTAGGCACGTTGGTGTGATGACATTCTGTCACAATGACCGTCGATCAACGCACCTGTAGCGTGATTTCCGGTGTCACGAGGTCGGACGTGAGCATGCACCAGACGCGGTCGGCGACGGACGCCATCGGCTCGGTCCACGCAGCAACGCGGGTGCTCGTGAGAGAAAGCACATTGTGCGGCTCGTCGCCGACCATCACATTTGCGAACGAGCCAGTGCGTAGGTCCAAAATGTTGTGCCGAATGAGCGTGGCTTCGAGGCGAGCAAAGGCGTCGTCGAGACGGCGGTGCATCGCGGCGGCCCGCTCAAAAATGCGAACAGGCAGCTGCGCGTCATCGTACCATGCTTCCGGCTCGGCCGTGGCCTACGTACTACGATACACACGATGAATTTTGGCTAGACAACACACCGGTCCGTGCTGGAGGAGAAGCTGTTCGAGCGACCGCGCAAGCTGGAGCTGCGTCTCGACCGTTGCTTTGAGCCGACTGTTCTCTTGCAGCGCCGAGTGGCTCTCGCTAGCTTGACGCCGCGCGACAGCTTCCCAGCCTGAATCACTCTCGACGGGCGCTGCCTTGGCGTGAAGCCGCCGCACCTCGGTCTCGAGCGCCGCGCATGTCGCCCGAAGGTACTTGAGCTCGTCGTAGTTGCGCTTCTTCTTTCGCGTGGCGGTACGCGCGCTCACGGGACTCGCGTGACTGCTCGGTGATGCGCGCATGAATGACAATATGACGTCCGTGGTGTCGTGCGCTCGAGCAGTGTCCGCCTAGCACGTGTGTCCTGGCGCCAAAAGAGTCGCGAAAAGAATGACGGTCCTTCCCCGAACACAGCCGAAGAAGCTACACTGTAGTGGAAGAAGATGAACGTGTGGCCGGAAGTCGGTGTCCCACTGTCGCGCCACTGGTGCGGAGCATTTTTCCACCACCGGCCAACGGCGGCCGTTTCACGTTCTCGTTCTCTCGTGGCGCCACGTATAGGCCGTTTCACATATCTGAATCTCAAAAGGCAAAGTGCGTGTTTGGTTTGTGAAACTGAGAGGTCCGTCCGCCGCCCATGCAACAAATTGATGAAAAGCGGTGCCGATGACTCAGCGTGATGGCTTCTTCTTCAAGCTGCGCAACTGCGGCAGCACATGGCGGACGAAGCCCGTGAGAAAGGGCACCCAACAGTGTGGAGGCAGCCGCGGATCTTTCTCGTTGGCAAAATTTGTGAACCGGAATATTGAATATCCCGTGCGTGCACAATGGGTGTTATAGTTGTGGTATTAAGTTCTAGTTAGTACAAAACCGCTTTCCTACATCGCGCTCGCTCCGACCGCGAGCGCGGAAAGTCGAATAAATAGCAACGGCTTAGATCACGAGCACGTCCATCGTACCCGGGTGCGCCGCCGGCTGCTTCACGAGCGCGAACGTCAGGTAGCACGGCTTCGTGGGCTCCTGCAGCATCGACTCGATGCGCGCCATGCTGAGGTAGACCGTGTGAATGTTGTTGATCGAGTAGAGCTCGTACGCGTCCGAGACGCCGGCTTGCTCGAGGGAACCACCGGGGTGAATGCTGCGGACCATGACGGGCTTGGGGCACTGCGCAAACTCGAGCACTTGCGTCGCGCCGCTCTGATGGCTGTTGTGCATGAGCATCGTGAGCTCGTTGTGGTTGTCGGGTGTCACAGTCGCGCCATTGACACGCAGGAGAACGCAGCCCGACCGCACCGGCAGGCTCTTGTCCACCACACGCTTGACGATCACTTGCTTGGAGAAGTACTCGAGGCCGAGAATGAGGCCCATGGGTCCTTTGTGCCACTCGTGCCGGACGACCGGCGTCGCTGCTTCGTCGCGGTGCAGCTCCAGGCCGAGGTTTTCGCCGCACCAAATGTACTGGATGATGTGCTCCGGTCCATCGTACTCGCCCGCGTACGTGCGGCTCGAGATCGCAGGCGACGCTAGCACCATCGTCGACATGCTGCTGCTGCTGCTGCTCTTGGGTCGTTGGCGGATTCGCAAATGGTCGGCGTCGTGGCCATCACCAGAGTGGCACTTGCACGCGCACCCGCCTGTCTCGCCACGGTTTGCGGCATTGTTTCCGGATACGTCCTTGGAATCGGCGTGTATTCCGGATACCGTCGTTCAAATCGGCATGTGCCGCAGCGCACTTGGGTGTCTGCGACAAGCGCGAAATGAAAGTTGAAGGCAGCGCGTCAATGGCCGTCGAACGAGTGGAGGCGGGCGCTGCCAATGAACTTTGTCCCATGAATCCTCATACACCGAGTACACTGTACGTACGGCGACTGCGTTCTGCCAGTTGCGCCGCGGTGCCATCTGCGAGCATCGGAAGACGAAGAAGAGAAGATGCGGAGCTCTTTTAGCTGTCCGTCAAGTCGATCAAGTTGTCTGTGGTTGCCGCCTCACGTGTCGCAGACGCCGAGGACCCCACGATGACGAACACGTCGCGCGCGCAGGTGGCGCCGACGATGGCGTCGACATCCGCCAGGGATATCGGTGTTGGGAGGGCCAAGACAGCCTCTTGTTGACCATGGGTCCAGAGGCTGCACGGTGGCACCCGCCGCGCATCGCTCAGTGTCTGTCGAAGCATCGTCAAGAAGCCGCGTCGGTCGTCCTCCACTTGGCATGGCAGCGTCAAGTGTGGGACATCCGGCAAATCGCCGCGCAGCACCTTGGCCGCCAAGTAGTCGGGCGACACGTACGTATTGGTGGCATACGCAGTGAAGGAAAATTCCCATCGCAGCACACGCCTACGTGCACACTGAGCGCCAGTGCTCTGGAGTGGGCGGTCGACTCGTTACATTTGGACGAGCTGGACGATCCAAGCTTCGATCACGTCGCGAAGCACCCCCTTGGGAACCTTCTTGGCGTCAATTGTGTCGGGCCATTGGAGGCCTCGCTTCGTCAAAAGGCACTCGTCCACGAGCTGCTTGAGCGTATACCGCTTCTCTCTACATGGCTGTCAGCGATGAGCACATCGGAGAAGGTTGAGCTACTTGGTCTTGGCTGCCTGCAGCGTCGCGAGCACTTGCTGTGCTTGGTCGGAGCTCGAAATCGACGTCGAGGCCGGGGCACCGTCGCAAATGTCGCACGAATTCCCGCATGCGTCGATGGTTTCGGCAAAGTACGCGCCCATGTGCACTTTCCGGCACTCTTCGCGCGCACTGCAGTAGCTCACGATCGACGTAAAGTTGGCAAGGCCGTCGCGCTCGGCGTGGACGAGCGCCGCGACCCGGGGCACGTCCATCGATCTATAGTACAAAATGCAGTGAGCCGGGGCCCCGTCGCGGCCGGCGCGGCCCGATTCTTGGTAGTAGCCTTCGAGCGACTTGGACATGGTGGCGTGGATGACAAAGCGCACGTCGGGCTTGTTGATGCCGAGTCCGAACGCGATCGTGGCCACCATGACCTGGAGGTTGCCTGCGACCCACGCCGTGTGCACCTACTCAAGATTCATTCAGCGAAATACAGTGTCGTGGGCGCACCGCGTGGCGGTCGGGGTGGTGGGCGTGGTAGTACCCTGCGGCGACACCGGCCTCGGAGAGCGCGGCGGCCAACGTCTCGGTTTCCTTGCGACTGAGGCAGTAGACGATGCCGGCCGAGGTCGGCGCGAACGCCTGCACGCAGCGCACGAGGTCCAGAGTCGCAGTCGCGTCCGAGGCATCTTTGCGTCGGACTTCGTAGTGCAAATTGGGGCGCAGGAACGACGTGTGGAAGAACGCGCAGTGCGGAATCTCGAGCAGCTTCTTGACGTCGTCAATGACCGAGGGCGTCGCGGTCGCCGTGAGCGCGAGCAATGGCACAGCAGGGAATTGTCGCTTGAGGATCCCGAGCTTGGCATAGTCCTACGAGCCAGCAATGTTGTGCGACCTGCGATGGACGAGGAGTTTGTAGGATTACGTGTCGAAAGTCGTGGCCCCACTGGCTGCAGCAGTGGGCTTCGTCGATCACGAATCGCTGGAGCCGCTTGGCGTGGTACGCCTTCTCGAGGCGCGACATGAGTAACTTGCTGCCCGAGATCTTCTCGGGGGTCACAAAGAGCAGCAAAAGCGGCGTCTCGTCTTTGCCGAGGAGTCGCGCGTAAATGGCCGACGCGTCTTGGCGCGAGGTCTCGCCCGTGAGCGTGCACGCGGCGCCGTCGCCGTAGATGCGGCAAAAGTGCATCACCTACCCGGTGGTAGAGCGAATGCTGGGTCGCGCGATGACGTACTTGGTCGTGGATGAGCGAGACGAGCGGCGAAATGACGAGAGTAAAGCCAGCTGCCTGCATCAGACAGCACGTTCATACGACCATGTAGCCCAAGAGGGTAGATACCTTTTCCAGCACGGCGGGAAGCTGGTAGCAGAGGCTCTTGCCGCCCCCGCTGCGCATGATGACAAACGCATCCTGCTTGCGCAGCGTGGTCTGGATCACGGCTTCTTGTGTTGGGCGAAAGGTCTCGAGGTGAAACTAGTCGCAAGAATATGCAGTCGTGCATGCTACCGAGAGCGTACCTCGTGCTGAAGCGTCGCGGCCAGCATCGCCGGCGTCACGACAACGGTTGCGATGGCCTCAATGGCGTCGGTGGGCTCTGGCGCCGACGTCTTCTGGCGCTTCCGGCGTCGTCGCAGCGCATCTATCTCCTCTTGGAGCTCCATCTGCCGCTGCAGGAGCAGCTGCATCTCGAGCTCGACCTCGGCGAGCGCAGCCTCCTTGGTCGCAAGCTCGGCGTCCATGGTGTATCCGGCCAGATTATCCGGTATAACCCGCTCACTTGGAGCGAGTATACGTGGGCAAAAGATATGACTGAGCCGGAAAGTGAGGTCAAACTTGCCTTTGACGCCGATGAACGAGTCCGTCGCCCCCGTGCACAAGGCGCCCGAGCTCCAGGTCACGACCTTCCGCGACTTCCAGACCAACTGCACCCTCCTCGAGAACTCCCTCCGCGACGGCGGCTCGGACCCGCGCCCGGACCTGCTGAAGCTGCAGACCTGGGTCCGCTGGGTCAACGACGGCCACGGGTCGCCGGCCCACGAAACGTACCTCTACTCGACGTCGCTGCCGCGCGTCGCCAATGGTTTCTTGCGCCGGTCCTTTGCGCGCTTCCCGGACGGCGACGTGCTCACGCAGATCGTCGGCTTTCTGCGCGAGCTGGCCATGCACCTCGTGCGTCGCCTGCACAATTCGACGCAGCTCCTCGCCGACATTGAGACCTTGCACGCGCTCCTCGATCCGAGCCACAACTTTTACATGTACCATGGCGTTCCGGCGTGGAACACGGAGATTGAGCTCGACGAAGAAGCCGTTGGTGACGCGATACCGATGTCCACGCAGGTGGGCGACGCCGTTGACGCGTACCATGCAGGCAAGCACGTGTGGCTGCAAGGCGTCGTCTTGGACGTGAAGGGCGATGGCGACGAGGCGTACGTGGGGTTTTACGGCCTCGAGCCGACAGGCGATCGCTGGCTGCCGCGCGCGCATCTCGCACCACTCGGGGCCAAGACCAAAGAGCACCGCCGTGGCCACGGACCGATCCGCACCGAGCTCGACGAGGACATTCCCGACGCCAACGACAGCGACCGCGCGCCGTACATGTGCGCGCTCCTCCGTCCCCGCGTCCCGTGCTCGCGCTTCTTTGTGGACGTCCTCAACGCGTTTGGCAGCGTCGGCGGCTTCCAAAAGCTCCCGCTCTTTGTGCTGCAGCCGCCCATCAACGTGGCCATGATCGCAACCATCGTGTCGCTGATCGCGAACGTACTGCCGTGGGTCACGCGGCCCCTCGCGCACCAGCTCGTGCGGCAGACCGAGGCGTCCTTGCACTTGCACTGCCCCGACATGGTGCTCTCCCTTTTCGCCAGGGCATGCTCATCGACGAATGGTAGGAGCTCCGCAACATGACCAAGCCGATGATGGACACGCTGCACGCGGGCTTCAAAAAGATCTGCCGGCGCCTCTATGTGCGCGTCGATGCATCGCGCAAGGCGGACGAGCTCCTCCTCGGGCTTTGTCTCCGCTGCCTGCAAAGCGACGTGCTCGAGCACCGCCTCCACGGTCTGCGCTGCCTCACCGACTTTTTGCCGCTGATTCGCCACGCCAAGGTCGGGCACATCGACCTCAGGCACGTCGTTTGGACTGAGATGGTTGTAGGCGCACCCGCTCGGCGTCAAGCTCGTCGCGTCGTCGCTGGCGTCGTCGTACCCGAGCCCAGCGTCGTCGGCGTCCTATGTGCTCATTTCGCTGCCGATCTCCGAGGCTACCGACGAGGCGTCGCTCGCGACATGGTGTGAGACGCACCAAATCCTCTCGCTTCTCTGCAGCGCGCACGAGCAGCTCATTCGGCGCGGCGTTGACGTCGTCCGGTTCTTCTGCGAAGCGCACCGCTTTGGCCTCGCCGAGCTGCACCAGGTGTGGGACGCGGTCCTCGCCACCTCGACGGGCGCCGATGTCCGCGCGAGTCTCTTCTTCCTCCTCGAGTCGATCGTCGCGTGGCTCTCTGTGCCTGTTTGCAAGGAGCTCCTCCGGCTCTTGACGGCCTACCCGACCCCCAGCGTGCACGTTGTCAATTTGGTGGGCAGCATCGCCAAGCACGCCCCGATGGATGACCACCTGCATCTCGAGCCCCGATTGCAGCTGGCGCCGATCGAAGGCGACTTGTTCTCGATCCATGCGGCCTGTCGCTGCGAAGCCATCGAGCTTCTCTGGGGGTACCTCCACGACACGACGGACGACGGACGGCGCCAGCTCTACGAGCCGGCCAAAGCGCAGCTCCAAGAAAGCATCGACGCCAACATTGATGCGGACGACCACCCGTCGCTGCTGGACGAACCGAGTCTGAGCCCGCTCGTGCTCGACGGCATCGTCGTCCTCTTGACGCAGTGCGTCGCGCGCGTCACGGCGCACGCCGATGTGCCGCAGGCGCTCGGGATTCTTGGCTACCTCCTGCATCTCTTCCCTTCGGACCACTGGAAGCTTGAGATCATCTCGTGGCTTCATGCGCGCCACATTGTCCAGCACATTTTGGACGACTTGGTCGATTTCAAAGCGTCTTTGGCCAGCGCCAGCGAGACGGACGACGCACTCGAGGACATGAACGCCGCGCTCTTGCGTCGTGGCAGCCACGTGGACTTTACGTCGCACCTCAAGGCCCGCCTCGGGTTCCTCTCGCTGCTGTGCGAGCTCGTGCCGCAGTCGCTTAGCGTCATGCCGTCGCACTTGAGCGTGCTCTGGGACACGCTTCTGGTGCGCAGCGTCCTCCCGTCCGAGCGCAGCATGCTCTTCAAGTGGTTGCTCGCAAACGCAATGCACTTGACAAACGACGCGGTCGCATATGTGTTCGAGTCGCTCTTGAGCGACGTGGCCTTTCTCAAGAGCCCGTCCTTGAGCCCGCTCGCGCTCTCGTGCGTCCTCTGCTACTTTCGTCTGATGAACGACCAAGCGGGCACGCTTCTTCTCGCGCCGTCCGCCACGACCGCGCCGTGCACAACGAACGCGTTAGTGATTCAGTCGCTGCCTCTGCGCGGCATGGACGCGCTGCTCACGATGCTGCTCGAGGCGTCGCATGCGACGGTCGTGGCGCAGACGCTGCGGTTCGTGGCGCTTTTGCCGTTCAAGCTCGGGCCGACAGCAGGCACATTGGACCTCGTGACCTTGAGCTTGGAGCGATTGGAGCCGCCGACGCTCGAGCGCGCACTGCTCTTGCTGACGACGTTTGTCGGCACGGACGTGGCGTCGGCGACTGCTCTCGCCAACGGGAGCTGGGTGCCGCACAGCAGCAACTCGCGCGGCCAAATGCTCACGCTGCTGCTCTCCAACTCGATCAAGGGCACGCCCACGGTCGGCGCAAAAGTGCCGCTTGTCGTGTACGCCAACGACACGGTGCTGCAGATGCAGGTGGCGGCGACGCTCGCGCTGCAAGTGCCCATGGCCGTGCAGTACCTGCGCTTCTTCCGCGCAGGTCGCGAGATCCAAGAGCTCACGCGCTGCCTGTCACTGTCCGACGCCGGGTTCAAGGACGGCGACACGATCCTCGTCTCGCAGCGACCGAATCTGACGCCGGCGAGCGCCAGCGACTACGACGTGCCGATTGTGTTGTCGCCATCGTTGTTTCCCAAGCTATTGAGTCTCATGGACTCGCACGTCGAGGCATGGAACCTCTTACTGCGGCTGCCGACGCCCGCGTCGGTCGTCGATGCCATCCGCAAGCATGAACGCGAGTGGTCGGCGCTGCTGTCGTCAAGCCACCCGTCGCAGCTGCTGTACCGTCTTCAGGTCCTCGACGGGCTCTTGGCGGAGAGCAGCTTTTTGGACGCGTTTGTGGCGACACACGGACCCGCGTGCATCCTCCAGACGTTCCTCTCGCTGCGCCACGACAGCGGCCCGTCGGGCTTTGAAGCGTACGTGCGGCACGAGTCGGCGTTGGTGTGTCTCCGGCTCCTCACGCGCTTCCTCTCGGACGGCGCGACCGTGCAGTTCCCCAAACAGCTCGAGTGGGATGCCGACTTGTGGGTGGCGTCGGACCTCGCGACGCTGCCCGCTCGGGTCCTCGCCGCGTACGTCGACTGTGTGACGCCGTCGACCGGCACGTCGTTGCGCATCGAATGGGCACACGACGACATGGCGGCGCTCTGCAACGCGTGCCAGCTCTGGATGGAGGTCTGCGTGCAACACGACCTGCACGGCCTCCTCGATACGCTCTGCAAGCTCTATGTGCTCGCAGCCTCGACGTTCCAGCAACTCCCGTCGTCGACCGTGCTCCACGGCCTCGTCAGCACACAGCGACCGATCCGCCTTCTCATTGCGCATACGCTGGTGCTCTTGGCAAGAGCCTCGGACGCGGGTCTGGACGCCGACCGAGCGGCTGCGATGGTTGGCTTGTTGCGCGCTTTCGACGGCGACTCGGTCGAGTACGTGACGCTGCTCGGGCTCTTCGTCCTCGCCGCGGGCGACCGCGTGGCGAACGTGGCCGCGCTCTTTGAATCGTATGCGGCGCGCGTCTCGTCCCCCGCGACCTCGGCGACGTTCCTCAGCGACGTGCCGCACACGCAGCTGTTTGGGGACCTGGCGCCGACACCGCTCGAAGGCGCGCTCTTTGTTTTGCGATGCACCCTGGACAGCAGCCGTGCACTGCAGACGTTCCAGCCGCAGCTGCTCCTCGACCTCTGGCATCTCGGCCTGTTTGCCTACCCGACGGCCGACAAAACACTCTGGTACCCCCGCTGCAGCACGCCGTCGAGCCGCCACGCGGCGTTCCAGCTGCTCTTGGATCTCTGCAGTATGCCGTCGACAACGTCGCTCTTGGAGAACGGCAACCTGGCGTTCGTGATGGAGCAAGTGCCGCCGGTTCTGGCGACGCTCACGCGCGTGTACGAGGACTGGGAGTGGGCGTTTGACCCGCACAGCGTCATGAAGTCGAGCACGGGGCGCGTCGGCCTGCGCAACCTCGGCTGCACGTGCTACCTCAACTCGACGCTGCAGCAGCTGTTTTACATGCCGCGCTTCCGCGACGCGATCTTGTCGCTGCCTACGGACCCGGACATGGACGTCGTGACGCAGACGCAGCGGCTCTTTGCGCACTTGGCCGCGACCGAGCAAAAGTGCGTCGACCCGACGCCGCTCCTCCACTGCCTCCACGACGAAGCCGGCGGCCCGCTCAACGTCATGATGCAGCAGGACGCCGAGGAGTTTTTGACGCGCTTCGTGGACGGTGTGACCGAGTACCTCAAGACGACGAGTGCGCATACAAACGCCCTCGACGCGGTGTTTGGCGGCACGCTCTGCACGCAGCTGTGCTGCCAAGGCGGGTGCGGCTCGGTGCGCGAGACGGCAGCGACCTCGTTTGTGTGCATGACGGTCGAGGTCAAGGGCCACGAGAGTCTTCTCTCGAGCTTGCGCACCTGGAGCGCCGGTGAGATGCTCAGCGGTGTCAACTGCGACGCGTGTGGGAGCAAGCAGGACACGATCAAGCGCGACTGCGTCGAGACGGCGCCCGAGACGCTCTTGCTGCACCTCAAGCGGTTTGAACTCAACTTTGACACGTTTCTGCGCGAAAAGGTCAACGACGCCTTTGCGTTCCCGATGACGTTGGACCTGTTTCCGTACACGAAGGCGGGCCTCGACGCGCCGGACGCGACCACGCCGACGCTGTACGACCTCGTTGGGTGCGTCGTGCACCTCGGCAGCACCGAGTCGGGCCACTACTACTCGCTCGTGCTGGACCGCGTCTCGGGCAAGTGGCTCGAGCTCAACGACGACTCGGTCTCGTTCTTTGATCTGCGGCTCCTGGAAACCGAGTGCTTTGGCGGGCCCGATGCGTCCGGAAGTCTCGTCCTCAACACCAAGAGCGCGTACATCCTCGTGTACGAGAAGCAAGGGGCGACGGCATCGCTCGCGACGGCGTCGCTGCCGTCGGGGCTCGCCGACGACCTCCGCCGCGAAAACAAGGCGTTTGTCCAAGCGTGTTATGCGCACGACCCCACGTTTCTCGCGTTTCTGAGCGCCCTCCTCACGCGCCTCCCGCCCACAGAGAGCGACGTTGCCAGTGACGCGCCGCTGTCACCGTTTTTGCACGCGTGTGTGCGCGTCATGCACGTCTACGCGCGCGCGCACGTGCTCCAGCCGTTGCCGCTGATCTCGCTCTTGACGCACCAAGTGCGGTCGCCGGCGCTGTGCCAAGCGCTGCTGGCGCAGTACGCGTCGCACCCGTCGCATGTCGTCGAGATGCTCTTGTACTGCCCCAAGACGGCGGTGCGGTCCGAGTTTGCGGCCTTTCTGAGCCACTTGGTCGTCACGTCGCTGCCCCTCGAAGGCGAGTTGCTCGCACTCGGGCTCACGGGGCCGTCGCTCTTTGGGAAGCTCCTCGACCAGCTCTTCACGCTCTCGATGCTCGATGCGATCGTGCTGAGCTGGCGCACGATGGGCGAGTTCTTTGCGTTTTTCAAAGCCGCCGCGCTCGCCGACGGGCGCTGCCGCGACCTCATGCGCATGCACAAGTGCGGCATGTATCTCCTCGACCTCTTCCTCGGCGAAGCGAGCCCGCTCATCGGGTCGGTCTACCCGCCCTACTCGCGCAAGCGGCTGCCCAAGGTCCCCGGGAGCCAATTGACACCGCTTTTGGAGCTCGTCGCAGTGCTCTACGAAGGCCAGTCACCGAGCAGCTTGGACGCAGAGACGCGGTCGTGCCTCCTCCTCAAGACGCTGTACGTGCGCATGTTTCAGTGCGCCGAGCACGCCAAAGCCCTCGCGACGCTTCTTGTCGAGTGGTGCACCGAGTGGGACGCGTTTACCAACTCAGTCATTGACGTCGTCGGCCACGTGCTCTCGACGCTCCAGATCTCGACGACCTCGAGTCTCGTCGGGCTCTGGGTCGTCCTCGACCCGTTCTTTCAACTCACCGACTCGCTCCAAGGCCGGCGCGCGCACGACTGCCTCGTGCTCATGTGGCGCAGCATCCAGTCGCACCGCGGCGTCCTCGCCCAGGCGCAGGTCCTTCTCCCTTGTCCTTGGACCCGGCGGCTCACTTGATGGAATAGGCGATCGGGCTGCTCCTCGCGCTCGGGTCGGTCCATGCCCACGTCGACGCCGAGCTCCAAGCGACCCTCGGCGTGTGGGGGCCGTGGGTCGGACCGCTGCTTGCGAGTGTGCGCAAGCAGCCGTGGGCGTTTGACGTGACAACCTCGGATGGCGTCGCGCTCGAGTGGTGCCACGCGCTCTCGTTCGACCGCGTCGCCCAGTACATTGCCGAAGCCAACCTCTGCGTTCCGTGGCTCGAGGTAGACTAGAACGTTTACGGTCCGGCTCTAAGTGCGCGTAGGCGCCGGCCGACGACGACGACGACGACCGCGCCGACGCCGACGCGACGGCCTTTTTGTGGGACAACAGCATCGACTAGGCAACGTGTATATCCATGTATTCTCGTATTCTCAAGTCTACTCGACGGCAATGTCGACGGTCGGGCGCAGCTGCAAGCACTTGTCGAGCACCTTGTGGATGTTGTGCGAGTGGAACGCCTCCAAGCGCGCGTCGCGGCCCGTCAGTTGCTTGTTGTCGACGTGGACAAAGGCCTGCTCCGTCAAAATGTAGTCGAAGCGCGGTGCCCACTTGCGGCTCCCGAGACGCGCGGTCGTCGAGCAGTTGTCGACCATGTACGCCACGCCCCGCGCGTGCATGTACGGGTTGAGCGAGTCGGTCGACTCGATCACCGACTCGTTGGCGACCTCCGAGTAGCAATGGCCGTGGTCCAAGAGCACATCGATCTGCGCCATCATCATGGCCACGTACGTGCCGCTCGTGAACGGGTCGAGCGGGATCTGCGACGGGACGCGCGCCGCGCGGACCTTCTCGCCGACCTTCCACGTGAAGGTGCCGTCGAGCTTGCCCATCGGGAACTTGTCGTGGCGGTCGACCGCCATGTTGACCGACTTGATCTCGTTGCCCGACGCGACTTCGCCGTAGATTTCCTCGAGGATGTCGCGGCACGGCCCGTAGGCTGCCACGTACGCGTCTTCAAAGGTCGTCTTGTCTTCGCCCGAGAAGTGGTCGGCGACGGCCTTGATGCCGTGGTGCGAGATGATGGTGTTGAGCGGCCCCGTGATGCACTCGGCCGTGTGCAAGAACGAATCTTCGGGCGACTTGCCCTGGCCCATGTAGCGGCGGAAAAGCGCCTCGATGAGGCCGTGGACGCCGCCGAGGAGGATACCGCGCTCGCCAAAGATGTCCGACTTGTACTCGTCGGTCAGCGTCGTGTAGAACGAGTACGGCGACCCGAGCGCGACGCTCCAGCCGAGCGCGTGGTCGGCCGCGCGGCCGTTGACGTCCTGATGGATGGCGACACTGGCGTTGATGCCGGCACCGTTGACCTCCTTGCCTTGGACGTAGAGGCGGCGGACACTCGGGCCCATGCCCTTGGGTGCGACCATGACGACGTTGACGTCCTTTGGAAACGACTCGTGCACCGTGTTGAGGTGGCCGAGGAGGTAGCCGTGCGAGAGGCCGAGCGTCGCACCCTTCTTGAGCAGCGGAAAGAACTTGGGGTAGAGCGACACACACGCTGCGTCACTCGTGAGAAGCAGCACCATGTCCGACTCGGCAATCACGTTGTACATTTCGCCGAGCGAGTTGGACTCTTCCGTGAAGCCGACCGCGCGGGCCTTGGCGGCCGAGCTCGAGTTTTCGCGGAGGCCGACCTTGACGTTGATGCCCGTGCCTTCGAGCGAGTCGCGGATGTTCTGGGCCTGGGCGGGTCCCTGCGAGCCCCAGCCAATGACGCCGATCTGCTTGACGCCCTCAAAGGCCTTGGGCAGCTGGGCAAAGAGATGGCGGCCGCCGGGCAGAATGTGCTCGGTGCGGTCGGCCATCTGGACAGCCTGGATGTCGGCGGCGAAGGCCTTGGACGCGGCGAAGGGCGACGCCGTCGACATGGAGCGACGGGCGATCGTGGCGGGCGACGAGCGGAGGCTGCGGAACATTGGAAATTAGAATGTGCCACCGACGGATATCTTTAGCAAGATCGCGCAATCCGGTCGTATCCGGATAGCCTTGATTCCACAAACACCGGTTATCCGGACGTCGCCACTTCAACATGTTTGCGCAACGCGTCGGCGAGTGGTCCGACGTCGTCCTGGAGCTTTCGCCAAAGGGGGTCCATTGCGCCGAGCGACTAACTAAACGGTGCTCGGGCGATTCAATCGTTCCTAGTCGTTTCGTTGGTCGAGTGGCATCGGGACCGAACGTCCTCTTGCTGGCAGGGGGTGTCACCAGAAGACTTTTCTGCTGCGCGCACGTGGTCCACGGCGGTTTTGCGCAATCGAAGCAGCTGGCTCTGGGCTGTCCGGTTGGACTTGATTTGGTGACATTTGGCGGGACGCAATGAATATTCGTGCGGGTGTGAAGCCGCGTTGGGTGCCCACACAGACATTCTAGTGGGACCAAGATGCGACTGGAATCTACTAGACATTATATTGACGCAGGATTTAGTTGGTGGGCGCAGGCGTGCCCTTCTTGCTCTCCGTGCGCTTGAGCGTCGTGACTTCCTTGAGGATGTCCTGGTCCAGCGTCTCGTCGCGGTGCGGCGAGAGCTCGCCCGTCGCCTCGAGCAAGTCGCGCTTCTGCTCGACCCAGTTGACGAGTTCCTCAAGCGAAACTATGTGCATGAATCTCAACCTTTTCGACTACGAAAATGAGAACGTACTCTTGCCGTCCTTGTCCTCGTCGATCTGCGACACGATCCACTCGGCGGCCTCCTCCGTCTTGTTCTTGCGCAAAATCGTCATGACAGCCGTCTTGAACTCGGTCACGTCCACGACACCGTCCGAGTCGCGATCGAGAATGTTGAGGCGGTCACCGACGTCCTTGTCGACCTTGTCGAGCTCCACCTCGAGCTTGGAGAGCATCGAGTCGAGCTTCTTGAGCATGAGGTCCGCCGTCTTGTTTTCCTTGACAGCGCCAATGCGGCCGGCCGCGAGGAGGCCCTGGACGTCCATCGCGCTCTTGTCGATCTTCATCTTGGCCATGACCTGGCGTTCCTTCTCGACGAGCGACTTGAATGCAAGCGACTCGAGCGCGCTCACTTCTTCGAGCGTCAGCTTGCGTTCTTGCTCCTAGTGCCAAATAGTATCAATATGGCCATCTTGATACAATATTGACGTACGAGAACGCTGGACGGCATCGCGTCGACGGACGAGACGCGCTCGGCCGGCAGCGTCTCGGAGAGGTTCTTGATCTCGGCGACGCGCGACTGGTCGAGGGACGCCTCGAGGAGGTTGTCCATCTCGATCTTCTCCTGTTCGAGCTGCTTGGTCTCGTGGTCTTCCTGCTTCTTGGTCGCTTCGTCGTCCGAGCGCTTCTTGGCTTCTTCGCGAAGCTTCTCCTCGTCGGCAATCATCTCGTTCTGGTACCGGATCGACTCGAGCTGCAGTTCCTTGAGCTGGAGCTTATCGGCGGTCGTCGCCGCGCCCGACGACGCCGGCTGCTTGGCCGCGAGCGCCACTTCGGTCACGACCTCCTCGTCCATGCTCGAGAGCGACGCCGCGAGCGCCGCCTCCGGGTTGTCGACCGACGTGATATTCATCGCACGCGACAGAATCAGGAGCGACGCCGGCACGTTCTTGTTGATCGAGAGATCGAGCCACTACGAGACATAAGCCTCGACAACATCCTCTCAAACAGGGTACCTGGCGCATCTGCTTGACGTAGCCGGCCTTGGTGAGGCCCGTCGCACGCATACCCCGCTCCATGCACGCAATCTGAAGCTCTTCCTTGTTGAGCGAGTCGAGGCCTTCCCAGATGATTTCCTAATGCATTTTCGTTTTGAATACATCAGTGTTGACTCGAGGCGTACCTGGTCGTCCTTTTTGAGCGCACGGATCTTCATGCGCAGCTGGAAGCGCAGAAAGTTGTCGTTGCCGTACGGGTTGACGCCCATGTAGCGGCACATGCCCACGAGCTGCGGCCGCGAAATGTTGTCGAGCGTCACCTCGTCGTTGAAGAGGTACGCGATCTTGAGCGTCTCTTCGCTGCTCAGCGGCTCGCCGCGCTGCGCCCGCTCAATGAAGCTCATGACCTCCTTGGCCGTCGCGCGCTTCTCCTCGGTGAGGCCTTCGGTATCGCGCGTGTCCTGCATGACGTCCTTGACGGTCTCCTGGAGGAACTCGGCCAGCGACACGCGCAGCTGGAGCTGGCGCTTCATGTCTTCTTCGCGCTGAAAGTCGTGCTTGTACGTGCTCGGGAGCATGTTGGGGAACATCTTGAGCGCAAACGGAAGCAAGAGCTCCATGAAGGGCACGACGACAAAGAACGCAAAGGGCACAAGACGCAGCAAGTCGGCGACCGTGCGCTGGAGCTGCTTGCGCTCGCGGCGCGAGAGCGCGTTACCTTTGAGCACGCGGCGCAAGATGCGCGTCGACGTCGACACGTCCGCGTACAGCAGCTTGGTACCGATCCAGTAGTGCTTGAGTTCGTGGCCAATGTGCTCCTTGGTCTCCTTAAGCCACGCCTGGACGCGCGCCGGCTCCTGGATGCAGAGGCGGACCCACTCCTTCAGCGTCTTGGCCGCGCTCAGCGCCATGGACGGCGAGTTCTTGACAAAGCTCATTGCCTTCTGCGAGATCTTCTCGTCGAGGTTCTGCAGATCCTTGACCTGGAACCCACGCTCGCCCACCTTTTCGAGCGCCTTGTCCAGGCGGTCTTCCTGCTCGTGGATAAAGCTCGAGTTGCGCCGGCGAAGCGTCACGTTGGGCTTCTTGGCATCAGTGCTCATGAAGCGCGCGTGCGTAAACGGCGACGTCGCATGGGCGTAGTGCAGGCGGGGCGTGACCGCCACCAAGGCGGCGCTCGAGGCCAACGAGAGGCCATGGGCGGCCTCCTGCAGCGCGAACTGCCGAGGCGTGATGCGGAGCTTGTCCTCGCGCTCGCTCGAGGTGGGCATGGCGGAGAAGGCCGCATGCGCCCATGTTGGCGTCTGGCGCCGGGGCACGGACTTGGTCAAGGCGGCGCGGAGCATCCCTGGTCAACAAGCCAAATTGAGTTGTATGGCCAGGCTGCAATTTTAATACCAATTTTAATAATAATAGTAATAAAATACGCTGGATTTTGGATGAAAAAAGGACTGCGACCGCCAACGTACCAAGCAAAGTATACAAACGTGCAAAGAATTACGGCGAATTCCTCCGGTTGGACAGAAAAGAACCAATCAGAATCATTCGTACAATGAAAGCAGCCAATCCACAACGCGCATTCGGATAATATCCGGATATCACAACCAACCACCACGAGGCCGCACCATCATTCCCGTGTCGAGCCGTCACTCTTGTATGACACGGGGCGCCACAGGAACATCACGAGGAGCGCCTCATGATGGTCGTTGCATTCGAGTCGATTCAAGTCCACGGGTACTAACTAATTAGTGTAGTCGCCTACTATAATAACAGCTCGAACCAGCTGCCTGCACAAGTTTTGGCGCTGCGGCGCCAGGTGGGGACGCGGGGTGATAGGCGCTGCCGCTTGTTTGTCATCTGCAACCGGTGAAGGTTTGGGTGGCTTTCGTCGTGCTGGCAATGGCGTACTGCTTTACAGGTATGGGTCTCGTAGTCTACTAACGTTAGTCTAGTTCTAACGCGTTATGCACACCAGAACACACATCTGGCCCTTAACAGCCCAAATTTCACAGCGAATCAAAGGCTCCGGGCATGAACGCCTGACACAAGCTCTGGAGTCTCAACACAGCGTGTGGAGCACTAATCTCAACGCCAATGACGCTCAACGCACACTTGGACAACATTGCTTGGACAAGAGCAATAAGACGGAGCCCTGGGGCCAGCGTCCTTCCAGACGTGTGACATATTGTAGCTATCAGCGGGAAAGAAAAATTCAGTGTCGTGCAAACTGCTGGCGCCAGCAAATGGACTTTGGAATCCGCGATGGCGTCGCCAGCGCAAGCTTGCGCGTTTGCTGTCAATGAGATCATGGCGACCGTCGCGCAGACCGCGGGCGTCTCTTCGTGCGCGCTCGTAGCGCAGGTCACGACCGGCTCGTTCAACTCGGCCGCCGTCGCGTCGTCCGACTGCAAGAGCACCATTTGCAGCTTCCTCCTCCAGACGCTAGCGACCGGCTTTGCATCGTCCGCGCTGGCCACCTGCACCTTGCACGACAGCGCGACCAACAGAGACGTTCTTGTCGGGGACATTGGCGGTCTCTGTTCGGGCGGGAGTCTTCGGACAGCGACCACGGCCCGCCCGACTGCGACGCCCGCACCGACGCCCGCGCCGGAAGCCAACAACTCGGGCATGATCATCGGTATCATTGTTGCGATCGTTGTCGTCATCGTGGTCGCGATCGGTATTAGCGTGCGACGTCGACGAGGCAAAGACGCCGGAACGCCCAACCCGTTGCCTTCCACGGCGGCTTCGTACGTGTCGCCGTCATCGCTTCGAATGAGCTACACCAACCAGAGCTACCCAACTTACGAAGGCCGGGAGTACACCAGCCTCGGTGCCGCGGCTGGCAGCTTCACGAGCGGCAGCACGTCGTCAACACAGTCGGAAGGTTCGCTCGACATGTGCAATCTCGAGGCGTACCGGCTGCCGACGACCGACATCACCATGGTCAAGTCGTTGGCGCGTGGAGCGTACGGTGAGGTCTGGCTCGGACGACAGCGCGACAACGTCGTCGCCGTCAAGAAACTCCTTGGGCACAAGCGCGACAAGCACGAGCTCCAAAAGTTCATTTACGAAATTGCACTTCTGGCCAAGTCGGAATTTTTGCCTCCCATTCTATCGCAGGCTCGCTGACCTTGCGCTGCGTAGGCTCGATTGCCCGTTTATTGTGGCGTTCGTTGGCGTCGCATGGACGCGCCCGAGCGACATGCTCCTCGTCACCGAGTACATGGACGGCGGCGACCTCCGCAACCTCCTCCAGGCCAACGCGTCGACCAAGGCGTTCTCGTGGCCTCAAAAGGTCCACGTCGCCTTGCACATTGCCGAGGCGCTCGTCTATCTCCACTCGCTCGAGCCCAAGATCATCCACCGCGATCTGAAGTCGCGCAACGTCCTCCTCAACTCCAAGATGGATGCGAAGCTGACCGACTTTGGCGTCTCGCGCGAGACGGACGACGCAACCATGACTGCCGGCATTGGCACGTACCGCTGGATGGCGCCCGAGGTGCTCCAAGACGGCCACTACACCGAGTCGGCGGACGTGTTTTCGTTTGGTGTGATCCTCGCCGAGCTCAGCAACGAGATCGTGCCGTACTCGGACTTGCGGAATGCGAACGGCAACCCGTACACGGACACGGCGATCATGGCCAAGGTCATGAAGGGCGAGCTGCAGCCGACGCTGTCGCCCAACTGTCCGCAGTGGTACGCCGAGCTCACGCAGCGGTGCATGCAACGAAGGAACTTGGATCGACCGAGCGCGTTGGACGTCGCTATCGTCCTACGTCGGTCCTGTGCAGCGCTGCGGTAGGAAAGACCGTCGACCAATTGCATCAAAAATCTGACGCGTGACGCGCCTTCCGACAACTTGAACTTGTCCGCACGCACACGCCAGTTCTTGACTCTACGCATGTGTTTCACTTGACAGGTTGCCCTCGAGGATGCAGGCGACGGCGGCTGCAGACACACTACGAGCATGTGTGCATGAACAAAAGCCTGCATGGTCGTCCAAGCACCAAAGGTGTGTCCTTCGTCGCCGCCAAGAAGCTCAAAGTCGACGGTCGAGCTCCTTCTCGCGCGCATCGAAGCCATCTGGTTCGCCCTATGCGCGGTGGGTCCGATGGAATCTTGGTTGGAAACAATGGGTTGCATACAGGCTCGGGCCTTCCAGCCGATGCCATCGATACCGCTTGTGTACTGCACCCACTTGGCCCTGCATGCTAGCATACGAGAATCGACGACGGCACCAACGGCTGATCACAATAAGTTTTGGCAACCACCATGTCCACGTCGTGCGCTACACTGGCCAACTCGTTCATGGCGCCGGTCGCCGCACAGCCGTCGCTCGCCTCGTGCACGCTCGTCAAGATCTACAAGACGAGCGGTCTCTTCAGCTCGTCGACCTTCAAGGCGACGGACTGCAAGAGCACCGCGTGCACCATCATCTACCAAGGCCTCGCCTCATTCTTCGTGAGCTTCCCGGACTGCTCGTTCGTCGACTCGGACAGCAACGCCAAAATCCCTTTGTATCAGATTGGCAACATCTGCACAGGCACGTCGATCAAGACCGCGGCGCCGTTCAGTGGCTCGTCCAGCGGAAACCCTTGGACACCAACGCCGACGTCAGGTCGCGGCTCGCTCTCGGGCAAGACGCCGTCTCCCGGGTCGGCATCAACGTCGTCGAGCAGCAGCAGCAGTTCGACCACCATCATCATTGTCGTCGTTGTCGTCGTCCTCGTTGTACTGGCGATCATCGGCTTCTGCTGCTGGCGCAACAAGCACAAAAAGCAGCAGGAAGAAGCGGCGACGATGGCACTCGCGTCGCCCTACGGACACCCGCCGCACGACTACGAAGCAGCCAACACAACAACCGCGTACTCGGAGCCGACATACCGCCCGGACCAGGCGTACACGTACCAGCCCGAGCTCAACTCGGTGCACGTGTACCAGGAGCCGGCGCCCGTCCACGTGTACGACCCAGACGCCGCCAAGCACACGATGCTGTCGACAGGTACCGCGACGGCAACACGCACCGCCGGCAGCGCCACTGGCACCAAGACTGGCGCAAGCTCGACGTCCGTGCAGTCGGACGGCGCGGGCCTCGATATGTGCAACCTCGACATGTACCGCGTGAACGTCAGCGATATCTCGATGATCAAAGCGCTGGCGCAAGGTGCGTTTGGCGAGGTCTGGCTCGGGACCCTGCAAGGCTCGATGGTTGCGGTCAAGAAGCTTCTCAACCACAAGCGCGACAAGAACGAGCTCCAAAAGTTCATTTTCGAAATCGCGCTGGTGGCCAAGTACCTACTGCTCTCGAAATGCAGAGT